CTCTCTCCCCCTCTCTCACTATCTCACGCGCGCTCTCTCTCTCTCTACCTCTATCCCCCTTCTCTCTCTCACACACTCTCTTGCGCTCCTCCTCTTACTGTATCACTACCCTCCTCTATCTCTCTCACGCGCGCTCTCTCTCTCTCTACCTCTATCCCCCTTCTCTCTCTCACACACTCTCTTGCGCTCCTCCTCTTACTGTATCACTACCCTCCTCTATCTCTCTCACGCGCGCTCTCTCTCTCTCTACCTCTATCCCCCTTCTCTCTCTCACACACTCTCTTGCGCTCCTCCTCTTACTGTATCGCTACCCTCCTCTATCTCTCTCACGCGCGCTCTCTCTCTCTCTACCTCTATCCCCCTTCTCTCTCTCACACACTCTCTTGCGCTCCTCCTCTTACTGTATCACTACCCTCCTCTATCTCTCTCACGCGCGCTCTCTCTCTCTCTACCTCTATCCCACCTCTCTCGCTCGCACACTATCACGCGCGTGCTCTCTTTCTCTACCTCTATCCGCCTCCTCCTCTCTCTCTTGCGCTCCTCCTCTCACTGTATCGCTACCCTCCTCTATCTCTCTCTCCTATCATCTCCCCTCTCAATAACAATAACAATAATAATGATAATAATAAATAATAATCGTATAAATAAATACTATCGCGTATCAGAAAATGAGAAGCTATGTTTGTGTATATCGCGAAACAGAGCCGTATATAGATAATATCTGTTGCGAAAATTACCCGCTTATATTGTATACAGCATAGATATTTGATTATCTAATCATTACACAAATCGACTCTTACTCTTATATCTGGCAGAACTTGTTTGCCAGAACTTGAGCAAATAACTCACGTGTGGGAGTCACTCGCTTACGTCACGGTCTCGTCAAATTGCGCCGAACACTCGCCGTAAATCGCGCTTCATTTTACCTCGGTTTTGTTTATGAAAAACCGTGTAATTTCTCGCGGACTTGATAACATGCTAAAACACATGATGCCACGCCTGGCCTTTGGCCCCAGCTATAAGCAGGGGCGTATGGCTGGCTTGTTTAGCCAGGGGTCACAGTCACACTCCCTCCCTCACCTCACCAATTGAGGGGCCCGGGCGTAATTAAATTAAATTAAATTAATTCACATTTTTATTCTCTTTCAGCCCAAAAAATTCCAATGTAATGTCTGTAGAGAGACTTTCACTCGCAAGGACAATCTGAAAAGACATCACATTGAGGCGCACGGCAAACCAATGGTCGATGATGACGACACGATGGCGAAAACTAAGTGCATCCATCCAAGCTGCAAAGAGATGTTCTACCACAAGACGAAAATGCTGCAGCATCTTGAAGAGGAACACGGTGTAGGTTGTGAGAAAAGTGCGCACAATTTCAAGACATTTGCTGAGTTCCTAGAGTGGAAGGAGAAAGAGGAGATCACGAACTTCGTGTATTTCAGCAAACAAAAAGGCGTCAGCGTTGGAAAGAATACGGAGTATTCCTACTATATTTGTCAGCTGGATGGGAGTGAAAAACCACACAGGGCCAAAGACGAACCAAGCCGCAAAAATGACAGACGGAACAAAAAGGGTCAAGTAAAAGACAGCACCACGTGTCCGGCACGAATGCTTGTTCACAAAAGTTTGGAGACCGGCGAAGTTGATGTCAACTATATTCATACTCATAGCCACGTGCCTTCTTTTCATGATACTCAACATCACCCTATTCCGAAATCCGTCCAAGAGCAAATCAAGGGGAAATTGGCTTTGAACATCCCGGTTACACAGATCATACGAGATTTGCGTGACGGCCTCGGAGAGCGTAACAATCGTGATGACATTGTGGTGGGGCAATTAAGGGCGTACCAGTTCATAAGCAAAAGGGTCATGCGCGAAATGCACCGTAAGATGAACGTGAAAGCAAGACTCCACCCCCATGACAACATGTTCGTATATCTCCGTGTGTCGATGTTGGAGCAGGAGAATTTCAATCCAATCGTATTGTACAAACCGCTTGGAAGTGAAGTAGTAGTCGGCGATGCAGAAATCGATGAACTCCCCCACGCAAAAGATCTGTTTGCTGTTGGTATACAAACCAGAGAACAGTTAAAGATGATGAACAATCGTGAGATTCTGTGTGTGGATGCCACTTATGGGACTAATCAATATAAGTATGGGTTGCTGAATCTGATCGTCCCAGATGAATTTGGTATCGGATACCCCATTGTCCACCTGAACACAAGCCATCAGGATGAAAAGACGTTGTATTACTTCTTCCTGGAAATGAAGAAACGTTGCCCGGACATGAAGAGTGCAGTTATAATGTCGGACGATGATTATAGCGCCCCCAACGCGATCAAGGCTGTGTTCGGGGAAGACATAAGGCACATCCTCTGTAAATGGCACCTGCATCGCGCTTGGCAGCGGAGGCTTCGACAGGACATCAGAGACGAAACCACCATTAACGAAATTTACGGCTGTCTTGTTGTCATCCTTGAGGAAAAAAGTACAAAAAAGTTTCACGAACTGGTGCTTCAAGGAAAGGTACACTCCCAAATATGAACCATTTGTCAAATATTTCATCTCCCAATACATGAACCGGACCGAGGCGTGGGCCATGTGCCACAGGAATTTCCCACATGCGTCAACTGACACCAACATGTTCGTGGAGGCATTCCACAATCGTTTGAAAACGTTTTACATGGACAGGAAACCAAACAAACGCGTTGACGACCTTTTGAATCTGCTGCTGCAAATTGAAGAGGAGGATTTCGTCCGCAGACTCAAGGCCACCCAGTACACACCAACTGTCCAAGAGAAGCCAAAAAGTGACAAAAGAGACTCACGGCACAAGAGAGGCCTCAAGATGAAAGATGAAGCCCTAGATACGGTGGACCAAAACCACTGGCAAGTCAAATCACAAACTGAAGAATCTGTCTGGCACACAGTCACTGCCATTCAGGATGGATGTTCAGAGGACCACTGTTTCGCGAAGTGCCATGAGGTTGCATGCGTTGGTCTCTGTTCGCACATGTATCACTGCAATTGTGATGATTCTTCCCTTCTTTGTAAGCACATCCACAAGGTGCATGCTTTCCTCATACGCATCAAGCAAAGGGCAAGCAAAGAGCGCCCTGCCCGTGATGATGACGTTGCCAAAGACCCAAATGATGTCGATGTCGTTAATCTACATGCCACAATGGATCTGTCTACTCCTGTGGAGAAGGAAGTCCGCCCCATCCCTATGGAGAAATTGCTTGAATCGACAAAAGAAGTCATCGCAAAGTTGGGGGAACTAATTGGACATGAAGCTGTTAGTCAAATACTGCCACACATCAGCGGAACGATCAACAACTTGCTGGCTCAGTGTAACGCCGTGATTAATGCTAACCGCGATGCCCCCACCCAACAAATGCCACAATCGAAAATAGCACCGAACCAAAAATTGGAACTACAACCAATGAAAAGACCACCAAAACGAAAGCCACCACCCTCTGTTTTCACTCTGCCATCTCGAGCACAGAGGAAAGATATATGTGAATCCCTTACCACGCATCAGGAAGATGTTACAAGTGGAACGACAACAGTACAACCGCCAGTGATCAAGAAGAAGAGAAAACTAAGCCGTAATAAAAAGCACACTGTTAAGGTCAACCCATCAATCCCGGGACCAATCAAGACAAAACCAACCGTACCCACTTCAGCGCCATTGAAGACACCATCAAACGTTCGATCCAGCTTCACACCCTGTTGGTCTGCAGTGCCAGACCCCACCGAGATCATCGTGCGGAATGGACCCCACGGCCTGACGATGATAAATATCAAGTCTTTGGAGCCTACACTTTCTAGAGAGGAACTGATGTCTGCAAGAAGTATGGACAAGCAGTTTCAAACAGGATGGCTGTACGATGCAGTTGTAGACTCATACTTCTGGAGGTTGCAAGAAGAAAATCCACGTGTTATCTTCGCCTCTAGCTGCACCATGACGGCCATCATGCACGGCTCATCGTGTAGATTGCTGTGGGCGAATACCAGCCTGCAGGGCAAGGAATTGATATTTATACCCTTCAACCCAACAGGAAATCATTGGGTACTCTTCGCCATTGACCTGATCAAGAAGTCCGTCCTCTTCCTCGACCCAATGACCAGTTCCAACAACATTTCCTTGGAAATCATCAGTGCGTTTGAGAAAATAGTAGACCTGATCAACACGAAATTCAGCGTGAACATCGTTACCAGAGAATTTCCAGACAAGTGTTTGCAGACAGATGGCATGAGTTGCGGCGTTTTTGTCTGCTTCTATGGACACCAGTTGTCAAATGGACACGCGTTGACGACACTTTGCGAAACAACAGAGTTCAGGAAGGAGATATATTTCTTCATTCTCAAAAACTGTCAGATCAGGGGGACGAAATTAAGAGACATTTGCGGACTATGCAGAAGTTCGGATGGGGACTCATGGGTAGAATGCACACGCTGTCAACAATGGCACCATTGTGGTTGTGTGAACCTAACCCGGAAGGAAGCAGAGGCCATGCCAGCCTTCTACTGCCCTCCTCAATAAACACGCTTAGTGGAGAGAGTCATAGGTAAGTTGACGCGGATTGAATCAGGCCATCCTTAAGAAATTATAAGAAGAGCTGTAAGCTCAGGATGGGGGAAGGGGCCCGGGGGCGGGAGTGGGATGTTTTGTAATCAACCTCGGATACCTAAAAAGGGGGCGAATCAGTGACCCAAGGGTTCCAAAGTGTTTCAAAAGCCCACAAAAGGGGCCATCAATATATAGCATATATTTTACATTTTTTAAATAATATTTCTAATGGTGATTGAACCATGAAACTTTTTATGTAGCGTAATTTTAACCTAAATTAACTGAAAATAACCCTAGAACCTAGAGTAAACTATCCCTTTAACGTGTGCTTAACGTGTGCGTTTGCAGATCCCACGTGCCCACCACTGTGTGACGTGAAGGGTTGCTACACAGCCCGGTTTGAGCACACGCTGCTGCCGCGTCCTACATGCAAGGAGGTCGTCAGCAAGGGAGACGACTACTGATGTCAAGACGTACTCGCGCGCGTCCGATACGCCCTGCTAAAAGTGCCTGCAACCACTCGTAGAGTCATAGGTAAGTTGACGCGGATTGAATCAGGCCATCCGTAGGAATTTATAAGAAGAGCTGTAAGCTCAGTATGGGGGAAGGGGCCCGGGGGCGGGAGT